ACTCAGCCAGACACAACAGGTACCAAGTAATATATTACCACCTCTGAGAAGAATCAGGAATTGTAAATCACAGACACCTCAGGAACGGCGGGCGTCCCGGCCCTGAAGGCGATGGCAGGAAGTAGAGCTGGACTGACACTTACAGTGTGTCCCTCTGCTCTGGCTATGGCTCTGGCGCTGTCACAGGCGCCAAAGAGAGCTGGAGAGCTGGAGCTGGCTCTCCATCCAGAGGGGTTTCCCCAGCGGGTTCTGGAGCTGGTGCTGAAGCTACAAAAGGGAAACTCTCATCAATAGGACTGCTTTTCCACGTGTCTCCCAAAGCCAGGGGAGCCCTCACTGCTACTCAATCAAATCTCACTCCAGGATTCCACCCCCAGGGAGTTTTTCCAGCCTCTGCTCTGTGGGGTCCAGTGCCTTCCCCTCACCACCCACCCCATCACCCACCCTGCATCCTCCTCACCATCACTGTCTGCCTCTGGGAGTTCCAGTTGCTCCAGATGTACCAGGAGGAGGTGGGCCTGCTGCTCCAGGTCTGAGCCAGGCATGCTGAGCTCTATGTAAGCAACAATGGTCTTAAGGCCTGGAAATTCTGGAGGCTGGTGGAAATCGTCTGGGTACTGGAGCAGTTAGGTGCCCAGGATGGAGGACATGGCCCTGGGGTCATCGGGGACACCAGAGTCAGAGGCTTGGCCTTTCCTACCATGTTGGGCTCCCAGGGTAGCCCTGCAGGGACCTGGGCCTTTTTGCCTTTGGCTCCTGCCCATCCAGAGGCCGGCTCTGCTCCATGTCCCATCTCAGCTGGCAGTGTGGGCAGAGGCGGGCTTGGACACAGAGGAGGGGCTGCTACAAGCCTTCTGAAGGGACAGCCCTGGCTCAATGGCGTGACCACCTGTCCACGGCTTCAGGGACACCTGTCACCCTGCTATGTCCCTCTCCCTGCCCCTCCCCACTGGATGGCACGTCTGTGAGGACAGGCAGGCTGTGTGCTCTGGCCACTGCCCTCTAAGGGACACGGGAGCTGCTCTATGAGTGCCTGAGCCAGGAGGGAACAGACAGGCTGTGTCGGCCACCTAGGCTGCCCATGGGCCTCCTCACACTTCAGCCTTCACCTCCTGCACCTGCTGGCTGCAGAATCGTCCAGGGACCCTGCCTGGGTCTCCTTCTGCCCCTGCCACTCAGCATCATCAGGATGCGCTCAGCTGTCCCGAGGCTCCCTGGGTCCCCTGAGCACCAGCTAAGTCCCCACCATTGAGGCTCCACTAGATGGTGGGCAGGATGCTCTCCACCCCTTGTGTTCTGTGTCTCCCAAAGGGCGTGTGGGCAGGGATGGGAC